CTGAACATTCTAACAAAACTGATTTAATCGAGAAAGTTGTATCAATGTAATGTATAGTTACAGCCTTGTAACTTTGTATGCTGATTGAAGTCCAGCAATCTATGGTGACAGTTACAAATGTTACATTTTTTAGAAGATTAGTAACATTTGTAGTTGTTTCTTCATACACTGCGGGTAAAATAGTACTTGTTATTGTTTTCCTAGTCGGAATTGTATATGCAGGATTTAAAGTATTTTCAAAGTTTCTGAAGCCAGCATCCTCAACAATACTAAATGGTTAAAAGTCTTTTACCGCTAAATCAAGTAAACATTTGTCTAGTTTATTTTTCATGAAAACACCCATTTTCTTCGGGATATATGGAAGTTTAGTTTGTTGCTGAACCCGAGCCTGAACCATCTGATGACTACTACTGGTAGAAATTATTTCAATTTTCTCACAAATTGGATTTGGATATTTTGAACATTCTCCTTCTTCTTCAGTAGAAATTTGGGTTAAGGTCGTTACTGTTTCATTAACTTGTGTCTTTTTTTACCCAAATTTAATTTCACTAACGGATGTTTCCGTTCTAAATGTTTAGTTAAATTATTAGTTGATGTTTTATACAGTTCATCAAATTTCTAGAGGCTTTCGACGGCTAGACAGAGAAAGCACTACTGACAGGCATCCCGACGGATTTACGCAATGAAAGTACACTCTGCGCATCAAGTATTTCACTATTTCATTCAGACGTAAATGTCAGATGTAAATTTCACTAAAACATTTTTTTTATTTTCGTTTGTGTTTTTTGCTCATTACAGTTTAATAGAACCTAAGTATGGAGTTTAATAGCAAATTAAGAGGCCGCGTGATTAACAGTCAATCTCGGGAAATAATAGCCAATGTTATAGAGTTTATGAGAAGAGAAGGAAACTTTAATTCACCTTCAATACCATTAAAAAATGTAAATGATCGTGTTGCTGCAGCCACAGGAGTATCTAAAAACACTGTCGTCCGCATTTCTGGAGAGAAAAAAAGAATCGATAACCGTGAGATATCGGAATTTTCATCACCAAGAAAAACCATTAAAAAACCAAAAACAGTTAATGATATAGATGAAGCTGCACAAGAATCAAATTTTATTTTTTTATTATTAGATAGCTATTTTTGTTTCTGAGTTGTGTTCATTTACAGGCTCAAATTTTTTCCGTTTCTCCTTTTTGATTTTATATGGGATTTCAAGTTGTTTTTGACTTATTTCGACGTAAATCACAACAACACACTTTTTTAATAAAGCAAACAAGTGTTAAGAGGTATATGTACGTGTAAACTACAATTACAAAAAATTGATATGAAACCCATTAAACCACCAACAAAAATGTAAAGCTAGCTTCCGTACTAGAACATGGTGTCATTCGTCGAGATAATTTATCGTTTTGTTTAATAGATCAAGAAATGTAAATATTCCCCTGTTATTTTTTATAAAATTATAAGAGAAATAAATTTTTTTCTAAATAGTATAGTTTATTATTTTGTAGAAAAACAAAATTTCGAAAATTTTAGTAATGTTTCAGAAACAACCGTTATTAATAATAGGTACCATTTTCCTTAATAAGGTAGAAATAAAATATAAACTATTTCCACGATTTACAAAGGCCTACAAAACAATTATAGGTATTTTCCGCTATCCTATAAAATTTATATTTTCTGACTCAATTTCAAAAGGTTGAAGGAATTCCAAAACACCTTTTATGGCATAATAATTATTTTCAATTCTACATACTATCTTTAGCTGCTTTAAAAAACGTTCTAAGAAAGTCCAATCAGACCAATTTAATCCCTAAACTATTCCACACTTTTAAAATTTAATTACCTAAAAATATTAAAAACTATTTAAAATAACTTGTTTAGCAGACTGTACAATAGCTATCTTAGTCACACGTAGCGCGTTCTCTGTCTGGGCGTCGAACACCTCTAGAAATTTGATGAACTGTAACTAGCACATATTACAAGTTACTTTTTCATTTGAAGTAGGTTTAAAAAAGTTCCACAACTCCGATTTTTTCGTTTTTCCATTTTAATAAGTTAATGCCTACTACACACAATAGAAACATAGTACTGAATAAATAATTAAATACATTCACTAATAAACCAAGAACCACCCAAGAGAAACGCGCCTCCTTGTAAAAAATAAAGAAAGTTTTTACATTCTAAAAATGTTTTCTGTAATTGAAAACGAATAACAATTGTGGAATTTACTTAAGATTATAATAGATGGCAGCAATAGTAATCGATCGTTTTTTAATTTTCAAACTTTATCTTATAAAAATAAAATATAAAATTAACATAAATTTAAAAAAATATTGTATAAAGAGCGGAGATAACCAAAGACATGAAAAAAGAAAAAATAGGAATATTTAAAACTATTTTCCTATTTATACCTTAAGTCTGACCTTATAAAATCATTTGATTCTTTATCCCTTAAGTCTCCAATATTTAGTTTCTTTGCCACTTAAGCTTACCCATGTAAAAATAGGTTGGACCCTTTAAATCCCAAAAGTCTATTAAAGTAAAAAATTCTTTTCTTTATCCTGTACGCCTACCTATACAATTGCTATTTGTGTATTAGGAGCAGAAAGTAGCACTTTGGCAGTTGAGACATAGCGAAGCGCGACAATCTGTCAAAACTGTTAAAGGAGTTTCTGCTCGAATTACACACACTATTTTTTCTACGATCATACCAAAATAAAATGAATAATATGATTTTATTAGAAATGGGTTACCTTCTTTCGTTATATTGTTTATTTGACATAAGCCTACTCTTCAAAGAGAAAAAAATGTTTTAGTATGTCGGTAGTTATTTATGATTTAAACATTTAATTATTTACGGAAAATACTGTTGCATGATTTAAATTATTAAAAAGTCAATTAAAATATTTAAGAATAACCTACATTTTCTTTTAAAATTAGTGATGCCGCGAGAAAAGACGAGACGAGATAGTGGCCTCTCTCGTCTCGTCTCGTAGGGCGAGAGAAAACTGTTCTCTCGTCTCGACGACAAGGCGCTTCTCTCGCTCGAGAGAGCCTTTCTCTCGTCTTGTTTCGTCTCGTCTCGTTTCTCTCGCGTTAAAACAATATCAAATTTAAATTTGAAAAATACGAAACATGAAAAAACGGTAAAATTTGTAAGACAAAAACAAATAATTTTTCAAGTAATTTACGCATTAGTACCCAAATTTGGCAATAAGAAACACTTATGTTTCTCTGTCTGTCTGACACAGTTCGTTTCACAATTGAAATTTGAAGTAATAAGTGGCCCAGATTAGGCGTTAAAACTAAAAACGAAAATACTTTGTCTTGTAAGTCATTTGGGAAGGGGGGGAAGAGGTTAAATTGGAAGTTAGAATTTTTCTAATGCAATCCTGCGATGTCAAATAAAAGCATTTTGTAGTATGTTTTCAAAATGCAAGAAGATAGAGACATAAAACAAAAACAATGTGAAATTAGAGAAACATTATGATATTTTTGTTATAATGAGATGGACTTTACTTGAGACGTAAAATAGAGGGCGTTACTATCTTTAAATTTTCTAATGGAAAGTAGTCATGTAATACCTCATTTGAAAGCTACAGTTTAATTTTTTTTTACAAAATTACATTCTTGATAATCCTCGTGTGCTGCAATAATCCTAGAAATGTTAGATAATGTTAGAAGATAATTGTTTAATAAGCTTTTTTTGCCAAGAAGTTATGAAAAATTTAATACGTCAAGTGGTTTTTAAATCACCTTTGATATTCTTAATTTATTTATTTTAGTAAATACAAGAAGCGTTTCCTTAGTAATAAACAATAATTGTTAATACGAGAGTTATGAAGAATGTAACTTATTAGTAAAGGCCCAGAACATGTCTGTATAAGAAAAAAGTACCAGCTACAAAAAATTGCCATTTATGCAGGGTTAAATCCCTCTAACAGTAAAAAATTACTTAAATTTATAAAAAATACTGAAATTTACTCTGTACTAGCCAAAATGTTAATTATCCATTGTATACTATTGTAAAAAACAGCATTTATAAGGTACCTATTATACCTCTGGTAATGATCCTTTGAGGTTGAAGCGGTAAATAAAAAAAGGAATTTATCCTACTTTATGAATTTATTTAATGTAATTTTCGTAAAAACATTAAAACCTAAATCTGTTTACATGAACGTAAAAATATAGAAAATATCTTTCAAGTGAGGTATCACAAGACCCTTCTTTCCATTAGAAAATTTAAAGCTAGTAACTCCCTCTATCTTACGTGTCTTAAGGTAAAGTGCATCTCGTTATAACAAAAATATAATATCTCTTGAGTTTTACCTCGTTTTGTTATTATCCTTTTTCATTTAGTAGTTAAAATAGAGAAGGGTACAATTTTCGTCCTCACTGTATATAATACATTCGTTTGTATTACCTTTTCTTTGACAGTTTTTCGAGAAAACGTTTAAAAATTTTCAACTTATCTTCAAAAGTAATCTCAGTAAAGCAGAATGGATTAAATATAAGAAATGATTGTATAAATTTTAAATGAATGAAATGAGAAATATTTTTTCTTATAAATCACTATTTATAAAATGCTAATAACACAAGTATCATTTGTTACCATTTAATATATATAGAATAGGTGTGTTATAGTTAATTTTTTGACTATCTCGAAATATAATATGTTAAAATTTTAAGTTACGATAAGCAATTGAAAATTGCAAATAAGCAAGGAGAAAATTGTTCGAGAGAGTTCGAAAGAGCTCGAGAGAAACGAGAAATTCTCGTCGAGAGATGACACTCTCTCGTCTTGAATCTGTTTTCGAGAGAAAATGTCTCTCTCGTCTCGTTCGAGACGAGACAAGACGAGACGAGAGACGAGAATCTCTCGTCTCGCGGCACCACTATTTAAAATACAGAAAAAAAATTTGTCTAATGTGTCGCTCTATAGTAATCATTTTATTTTACTTAAATTGATGTTTAAAATTATTTTACTTTTTAGAATGAACTTGATAAGACGAAACCTTCTAGTTTAAGAATAGTCGACTGGCAAATATCATCTGAAAATTCACCAGCATTTGATTTCTGCTACTTTTTCCTAATACACAGTACAAAAGAAGTTCTAGACGACTACCAAAGTTATATGAAATTATATTACGAATCATTTTCACAACATCTCAAAAGTTTCGACTGTGATCCGAATGAAGTGTTTCCATATGCCAGGTAAAAAATTAATCTACACAAAATTTTTTTTATTTGAAAGTTTCTGAATTTTTGATATAGCTGACTTCTTGAACAATAGAGTCCATTTGCCAACTCAAACCTATGAGTAATTTTTGTTATAAAGGATGTTAAAATTCAAAATTGGCAATTTTTTTAAAATGGAGTGCCTCTTAACAGACTACTACGATTACAAATATTTTCGAAAATATTTTCAGTACCTATATCAAACAACATTTCCAGTATGATGTAAATTATTGTTAGTAACAAGATGAGTAATAAATTACACGAAATGGAATTTTAATGTTTACATGAGAATATTCCCAAATTAATAACACGCTGAAATACCATGGGATTAAATAATTGAAATTAGGGACTCTGACATACTATAGAGGACAAGTAAATAAGTCGGTAGACTCTGTATGCTGCTTTTAATAAAATGTTACCTATCTGATATCATCGCATGTTAATAATAGACATTAAACCATTTTAAAATATTTATAATTTATATGTAACGAAAAAACCAAGAGAAAGGGGCCCTTTCTCCTGGCATCGCCCTATATTTCGTCGCTTAAATCGCGTAGTCTTTTTTATAAATGCTTTGTTTTGAGTTTGCTAACAAAATATAAAAATTATATGAACTTACTTTGATCAGTGAACAGTTTTTCACATATGAATTTTAAAACTATGTAATGGCAGATATAAACAATTAAACTCGTTTCCTCAGCCGTCACTTTGATGTAATTTTTGATACACGATTGCAAGAGATATTCTGTTTTTTTTTTACCTAGACAAAAAAATATTCGGTATCCATCTGCAATATTTTAAATTATAGAGTATGATGCACAAGTAGAAATACATTGATTATTTCGAAAATGATTGACTTTTGAGAAAAATTCTGAAAAATGTCGATTTTTATTTTTAAATGTTCATTCTTTGACCTACTTGCAACATATCATCATCTTTGTTTGATTATCGATGAATTTTCAAACAGAAACAGTTCCCTCATTTGAAAGGTATTAAGTTATATGAAAATTAATCCAAACATCAACGCCCTCTTAGGGATACAAAAATTATTAAATAATTTGAAGTGTGTCACTAAATTAAAACATATTGCAGATAGCGTTATGTTAGGAGAGGGTGGTAACACTAAACTCGACTATTTAACACAACTATTTATTATACTCGACTAAACTGTATAAAGATTCGCACAATAAAGCCATATATCTAAATTAACGTTTATATAATTTTCTGATGATTTCAACTTATCGCCGAGTCATAGTACTTGATATCCCAGTGGCGTTTCTTACGGGGGTTGCTAACAGTTTAAGAGGAAAACCGGACCTCTCGCGAAAGCAAAAATGTTTTAAGGATTTTGTAACATAAAATTGTATTTATATGCGTGCCACTGGGAATACTTCGTGATATTATATGCCTTGACAATATTAAGAGCTTTAAATTTGTGAAACTATAAGGCAGCACTCTACAGAGACGTTCAAGAATTAAAGGTGGGAAAGCATATCATTTAAAAACTACTAGATATTTATTAAAACAAAAAGCAGCAAATTTTCATTTGATTGCCAACAGTCCCTCCAGGCCCTAGCAGAACATAACAAGTTCACCCTTAAATGGGTGCCAGGACATGAGGGAGTGTTTGGAAACGAGAAAGCAGACCTCCTAGCAAGGAAGGGAGCGGAAAAAACTCTTATTGGACCAGAACCCACGTTGTGGTATCTCATACCAACATGTTAAATGGGTGTTAAAGGAACAAATAAAAAGAGAACACCATAGGCTCTGGATGGAACTTCCTGGACTTAGACAGTCCAAAAGGTTTATAGAAAGGCCATCCACGAGCAGACAACATCAACTGCTAAACCTTAGCAGAAGCGAACTCAAGGCCGTAATAGGACTCCTTACGGGACACTGCGGCCTTAGAAGACACCTAAATATCTTAGGGATATCTGATGACTCCCTATGTAGAATATGTGAAGAGGAGGACGAAACACCTATTTACATACAATGCCACTGTCGGAACCTTAAATGGGAACGGGAATGGTACTTTGGGGTACAATATCCGGAACCTGAAGAAATCGCGAAAGCGCCCGTTAGACATATTCTTGAATTCATCAAGAAAATAAATCTGATGGGATAGAAACTGTGAGGGGTACAATAAGCCTAGAGCTTCAGTACAAGTGGGCTTTGACCCACGCCCTGATTCAGATAGATAGATAGATAGATAGATAGATTCATAGATTTAATACAGAATATCGCGAAAATGTTTTTTTTTAATTACTTTTAAAAGTTTTTAAAATAAACACTTTTCGAAGGTTTACAAAAAAATCAAAGTTTCTCCACCCTAAGTTTTGTTATTGTTGGTATTTCCTGAAAATTTCACAAAAATCGGACAAAAAATAAAGGCTCAGAATGAATTATAAATTTTCAAGGTGTTCAGTTTGCTCTTAAATGAAATTAATCCATCAAAAAAGTAGATCGCGCAGAGTTACGACGGAGCGTCAGGCATGAGCGGAGGTATGATGTGGTACAAAAAATAACTAAAGACAAATATTTTTTAGCAAATTATATTCATTGCTATGCACATCAGATTAACCTTATAATAAGCAGTGCAGGTTCAATTAATGCATCTGTTCGAATTTTTTTCGCTCATTTAACTAAAATTTGTGCTTTTTTTCCTACATCACCTCAAAGAACAAAAGTATTGGATAATATAGTTCATAGACGATTACCATTCTCATCACAAACGAGATGGAAGTTCCAATCACGGGGAGTTAATACAGTTTATGAATACCGAAATGAACTGATACACGTTATGGATATTTTATTGAACGACAAAGATATTAAATTAAATTCTACTATTGAGCAAGCCGGTGCTTATAAACTTAGATTCCAGGACAGAGATTTGATATTTTGGTTGTTTTTCATAAAGTCATGCCACATGTCGAAATAATTTTTAAGCAACTGCAGACAATTAACACCGACCCTATCAAGGCTAAACAAGATCTAAAAACTTTGAAAATGCAATGCAACAAATTCGTGATGAAATGGATAAAATTATTGACAAAATAGACTCGAAGCTTTTAGAAACTGAACATAAACTTGTTCCTCAGAAAAGACGACGTTACCCTCGTTCCGATCTATTTGTTTCAAAAAATAAAAAAATAAAAGCCTTGGAAGTTTGCGATTCCATTATACAACAGATTAGGACACGATTCACTTTCACAGGACATCTGATAGCAACCGCATTATTCATGAAGGAACATTTTATCGAATACCAAAAAAAACTTTCCTGATCAATTGCTCTCTGATACAGTTAACGCATATCAATAAAAAAAAAAACCTTCTAAAAACAGAACTGCAAGTACTTTACGAAATCGAAGAGTTGCAAACCATTTCTGGAGCCATTCCTTTGTTATCATTAGTTTCGCAGGAAGATATGAAGTACACTTTCAAGATAATATTAAATTACTGGAAGTTTTACTGACAACACCTATATCAACATCCAGAGCAAAAAGATGTTTCTCTATGTTAAAGAGATAAAAACTTTTTTAAGCAACTCAATTAAAGAAGAAAGACTAAGTGCGCTAGAAATTTTATGAGCTGAAAAAGTGTTTCTAAATAACATTGACGACTTTAATAGACGAGTGATTGACCTTTTCGCTAATAAAACAGAACGAAGACTAGACTTCAAATATCGTTCAATGTAAAATATTCTTTATTTTACTGTATTGATTTGGAGTGCAATAAATTACTATTCAAAGCTAAATTCTATTAAGTTATTTATGTTATTTATTATTTTGTAAAAATGATAAACGCGCACTTTAATATACTTTAAAATATTACCCAAGATATGCTTTTTAACGACTTCGACTTAAAATCTGGGCTAGGCACCCGAAAATGTTAATCCGTGGCTCCACCTATGTGTTAAGGTACGAGCCTCCACTGACATCGACAAGAACACATTCTTAAATAATTTAAAGTATCGCACCTCATATGAAAGATTATTTTATAAGTAATTCAATGTAACACATAACGTTATAGTAGGAGAACTGGTAGACATTTTTGAGTAAGTATTTGAGGCAAGCTGACAACTTGTCCTATACCTCTCCTATAATAGCCTAATACATAACTGCAGACCTTACTGGGGAGTAGTGGGGCTAAATCAACCCTTATATTCTCTCAAAGTGAGGATTTTTTTTGCAAAACATATCCATGAGGCAATCTAAAATTTGTATTACAAAACATATCTTTGAGGCAATCTGAAATTTGTATACCTTTAAATTGAATATTTAAAGATAAAAATTAAAAAATTGAAAAATAATATTTAAGGCAAGTTGAAATTTTAACAGAATATTATTTATAATTAGAAAAACATATTGTAAAAAAGACAGATCATTTTGGTGGTACATTCTGCCCACCAGGTGATCGAGAAAGTTGTGTAAGCACGTGAGTAAGTGGTGCTATACGTAAGTTGCAGTGTAAGAGAGAGCGTTTATTCGCTCCGTGCGAAGTCATGGAAAGGGAAGCAAAAGCGATACTAGCGCTAGCTGCGGATAATTCGTGCATTTTAGGGCGATATTTTGTAATTTTGGCATATCAAATACACGTATACATTTTACTTTTTTTTTCAAAAAAGTAGGTAAAAACAATACAATAAGCAACCGGAGTTGCTGTGTTGAAAATTGTACAAATACTAGCAAATAAACAGTGAAACTTATATAAAAAATTTCAGTAGCAAAGTGGAAATTAAATCAAAGAAATAAATGGATAGATATACAATAAGAAGGAAAATTACCTTTATTTTTGTAATAATAACCGTAATGCTGCAAATAGTAGACATCAGAAACTTAAAAGGTTTTAAATCAACAATAAATTATCATTTTACCATGTTCTTTAATATCCCTTATTCTTAAATGTTCATTCAGCAAGGACTAGATTTCAAGATTTCTGCCTTTGATTATTATATGTGGTTGGAACGCAATTTTGTA